CCCCCCCCCCCCCCCCCCGGAACTTGCATTCTTAACTAAATATAAGTAACAAATATCTGCACGTCTGTTTTTTGAAAATCTCTTGACAACATGCTGCTGATATTCAGTGACTGTTCACTTTGTGGTTTGTGTGTTGGAGAAATGTTAAGTGCTTGTATCGGTTAATCTTAAAACGAGTGAACAAGACTTTATTGACAAATGTCTGCTATCTGTTTGTGGCCAGTTGTATTTTATATTATCAGATGATAAAAAAATAACTTCTATAATGCCCCTTTTTTCAAGTGAGGGGCGTTTTACTTTGGTGGAGGAATGTGTACTCTGAAAGTTTCTGTATGCATAGACATAATCGTGCAAGGTTGTGACGTTAGAAAGCGTAACTTAGGAAATTATTTTGAATAATGTATCACCTGGCTTCAATTTAGAATTAAGGTAGAGAAAATGCGGGATTTTGTCTCCCCTAGAGCGGAGCCTTAACATTTCTTTTCAGCACTAAATTTGTATTTTTTTCCAGAACTGTACCTCAAAATTTTTCAGCTAGAGATTCAGGGAAAAGATGTCTAGAGATCAAACACTCTTAAAGGTGGTCCCTCTCTTTCATATTTAACGGACGGAAATACAAATATACTGTTCTGAGTTCAGGTTTTTATCAACACGAAATTTGCTTTCTGTCTTATTTCCCTGTTAACGGTGGCTTTTGTTTCCCTGCTGTTGAGACAGGACGTCTCTGTTTATGAAATTCTGGAGGAAATGTAGCATGTACTGCTTTTAAAACTTAAAGCCAGGCCTGTCTCTTTGATTTTCTTTTGTTCGTTTCTCGTTCTTTCTTAACATAATTATAATCTCGGCATCATTTTCATCGCTATAACCTGTCCACATCATCCTCAGACAATGTAAGCTTTAATGTACTGGCATTTCTAACTGAGATCGCCTCAAAATGTTTAACTGTAGCATTATACTTAACTGATTTATTGTCAAGTGTATGAAAACCCAGAGACTAGCCTATATGGTATATGTTTGTGACTCTTTTTTTTTTTAAACTTGCTTGCTGTATTGTGTGTATGCAAGAGTGAAAGAAAAGAGAGGGAGTATGATTGTGGAGCAATCAGAGTTATATAACTGGTATTGGATTATAGAAAATTTATGCAAAAAAAGTTTTAAAGTCACCCCTGAATTAAATATCCATTGTATCAGAGGTCACTATCACATTCTTAGATTTGATCATGTTCATTATTAAAGATATACTTATCTGTTCTCTGTGGAGTTTTTTATTGTGACAAGGATTTTGTGCGTGATCAGTGATAGTACTTTTGCTATAAAGGGATTTATGTTGTGTACAGTATGAAACACTCTGCCACCAAATATGACCTGTGTGTCACATTTTCAAACATCATTGCAGCCCAGTAGCCTGATAAACATGTTGGCAGTGAATGTTTCTGGTAGAAAAGACTCCCACACACAGTATAACTTGCAGAAATTATGATTTTAATGCTGCAACATTTCAGTGATTAGACCATCAGGCAAACAGTTTTGTAACAAAGAGCCATTCTCAGTAGGAGTGGCTGCGAGTTTGTGATTCATCACATTACCCACGTGCAGTGGAAAGGCTAAATACCAAACATCAAGTTGGTGAAGATTCTCAGTCATCCAGGTCATGGTAATCAAAAGTGCTATATCGTAGGCAACTGGACTTGCTTGTGTTTCTATAGCACTTACGATTACCAAACATCAATCACATTTTGGTAACAACTTAAGGCTGTTGGGGCTGCAACCAATTATTATAATAATCGTTGATAAATCTACTGTCATTGGATGCACGGGCAACACATTCTCACTCCGATCTCGTCACATATCGACGTTATGGACCTTCCACATCCAGATACGACTTGAAAGGTACCCAGGGTGCGTTGGTTATTGACGTTCTGGGACGCTGTGTGGATGGGTCCAACAAACACGGACTTTCACCCAGGAGAGCAGTGTTTGTGTCCCGTAAGATTCTAAAGCCAAACCCTGTTCTGTTTTCCTAAACCCAACCACGTGCGTTAGTTGTTGAAGGAAAATAAACGTCAATTCATGGTGTTAGTAGTCTGAAGCAGGGCGTTTATTTTGAAAAAGACTGTATGTTAATGTTAAATTTCCTGTGAAAAATGAAGTGTATCTTGAAAGAAGGCAATGCATGTAACAGGCAGAACTTGACACGGTGTCCCAGAATGTAAACAACCAACACACCCAGGGTACCTTGCATGTCGTATCTAGACGTGGAAAGTCCATGACCAAACGATATGTGACAAGATCGGAGTGAGAATGTGTTGACCTCTCCCACCCACCCTACTTGGACTTTCACCACCTTAACCCTCGTCCTTGTCCCGTTGCGTTTCGCCCTGATGCTGCCTAGCACAGTTAAACTATAAAGGCAACGGGCCACATATCATGCTGACGTTAAAGGACGGCTTTTTTCATCAGTGTCTGATGCTGCCCAAGCGCCAGATTTCTACAACATCAGAGTGAGACTGGGTTGGAATCATTCGCAAGACCCCACCCCCACCCTATGGGCCAGTGCAATGATATTGCCTGCACTGTCTATATTTAGGTCCCTGTGTACAATCATACAATAGATTAATCAACAGTTAAAATAATGAGAATCAGTTGCAGCCCCAACAGCCTATAACTTGTTACCAAAATGTGAATTCTACAACACAGTTTATTCAATAACCCTGCTTTTAATTTATGTATCAGCCTTTAACACTTTAAACCTGCAAGAGACACACTGTAGTTTGGTTAAATGTTGGTGACAGGCAGTCTTTGTTCCTGTGAGCACAGGCTGGTGTCCTCTCTCTCTCTCTGCAGTAGTTTTAAATCTCTCCATCTCCGTGAATGATGCAGGACGCTGAGAGTGTGATTCCTCTCTTGGCATTCACCGCGTGCCTTAATTGTATGGCTAATAAATCAAGGTCCGCCGTGAACACGAGGAGCGGCAATCCTGCAGCCTTGCACCGGGGAAAGTTGGAGCTTTAAGAGCATCACGGGATGAGACACACACACACATACACACGCACACACAGAAATGACTCGACAGGCCTGAGCGCCATCAACGCAACACAAGGGTATATGAAATGTCCTCAGATATTCTGCATTAATACAAATACCACATATTAATCATCTCTGTTTCTGTCATCATCATCACCTCCACACATTATCGCCATCATGACAGCTCCACTTCCTCCAGTGCTCTGCAGCTGCTTCATTCCGCAGCATGCATCTGATGCTCAGGTCTCCGTCTGACGCTCCTCACTGGAAACATCCCGCATTATCATCACACTCACAGAGATGGAGACGGAGGTGAAGCAGGCCAAACAATACCGAGCATCTGTGGATGCAGGCAGACAGGCCCGGTGCTGGTGTCCGGTGAGGCTGTGGGAGATACAGACGAGCTCCAGTCCGGTCACACCTGCAGGATAAAACACGGAGCAGACTCTTCCTCCTGTTGTGTTTTAATATCAGACATTTCTCTACATCTAAAGCCTCCCCGTCCTCATTTGCGTGCTCCGGTCCTCATAGGCTGGAGCAGTAACGTCATGACGTACTCCGCTATCAAACGCTGGATGCTGTCCCCGTTAAACCGTCTGTCACACCGGCTTAATGTACCGGGTCTGCTGTCGGCTCTGATGCAGACACTGCGGGATGGGAGCTGCGCAGACCGGGGTGCTGAAGCTGGAGCTGCTGTGGAGGGGAATCAGTGGATTACTCATGATATATTTCCACATCAGCGTCCTTCTTTTTGTTTTATTCATTTTAATTTATGTGCAGTAACTGTAAGACAGAAAAGGGGAACTCATAGTGTGTTTACAGGAGAACTGGGCTTACTGCACATGTGTGAAAAGTTAGTTGTACACTGCTTATAAAAAAAAGGTAACAATCTGTATGCATCTTTGTAAGTAGTTCCAACTCTGACCTTTTTGAGTAGATAATATAAAGTATAATAGAATCTGACAAACCCAATTATTTTAGTAGGACCCAACACGTTTTGCTTTGACCTCAAAAAGCTTAATTTCAACACATTCTCACTGCATCCTTGTCATATCGATGTTTGGTCATGGAGCTTCCACGTCCAGATACAACGTAAAAGGTACCCTGGGTGCATTGGTTGTTAAAGTCCTGGGACACTGAGTCAAGTTCTGCCTGTTACATGCATTGTCTTCTTTCAAAATACACTTCTGTTTTCACAGGAAATTCACTGTTTACATACAGTCTCTTTCAAAATAAATGCACTAAGTCAGGACAACAACACAAACTGACAGTTTTTTTTTCTTCAACAGCAGGGTTTGGCTTTATAATCTTACAGGACGTGAACACCGCTCTTCTCTATTAAACTGTAATGGCAACCAGCCACGCGTCATGCTGACATGAAAGAACCCCTTTCTTTGTCGTGTCTGATGCTGCAAGTCTCCGCCCAAGCACCGGATTTCGACAACTTTGGAGCGAGACTCTTGATTTAGTTGAACTAACATAATTTATCCAAAAGTTGTTGTGATATTTGGCGGTGAAATTGTTTTATTTACAATATTCTAACTTGTGAATTGTAATTCATAATTTAGAATATATTCCTAATTTAATTTAATTTATGATGCGCACTAGGCAGCGGCTGTTTCTGACGCAAAGGGCAACAACCCAACTCGTCAAATACTGTTGCTTTGTCCAACCGCACCTCACTCTGACTCATTCCGAGGGGATTTATGATCTTTATTTTGGTTTAGGGGAGGAACCTCTGATTTTTACAAATTGAAATGGCTGTATTTTGTATTTATTTTACTGCAGATTTGTAAAGAAAACATGCCCTCCAAAGACATGTAAAAATACAGTCTGATGCGCTGATCATTATTATACTCTCCTTGATCTGACATTTTCAGCTTAAAACAGTTGCTACAGTTGTGAAGAAGCCATCTATGTCTGCTGGCATGGCTCACCTGATCTGATAAACATCAAAAGAAACAAAAGGAAACAACCTTTTGTTTTCTCATGATAACAGCTGTCTCACTTTCACAAGATAATGAAATCATTAACTTGTGATCTTAAAATAACAGCATTAAAAGAAATAACTGAAAACAGAGCCATTCTCAGCCTCTGTAGGTTTGACCCCAAATTAATTCAAACCATAAACAGCATTTCAGTTCTCAGTTTTTACACATTAAAGAAACATATGGTTTATTCTTCACTAATCTTTTTTCCTCCAACCAAATGCTTAATTGTAGTGAGCAAATAGTTTTGTCTTTAATCAAACAAGCTTGTGTGATATCAGAGTTTAATTTGATTTAATGTCCTCATATTGAAATATGATGTCTTAGTTTTTTTTAGAGATAATGAATTTGTCTTTTTTGTGAAAACCAAACACTAGGGGGCGTGTTTGATGTGAAACTTTCACATATCTTAGAATAATGAGAAAAATCAATTTAACACTGTGCTCTAAACTCAAGAATGACCCTCCACACGAATCTCCTCAAATGTTTTTTTAATATTTGACCTTTTTATTATCATCTTGACCTTTTATTAAAACACAATATTAAGTTATAAATAATATTTAATACTGCAGACAAGACATAAAAGCAGACATGTGATGCCAAAGGTCCAACACACATACATGTATTAAAATATAATAAATCAGTTATTTTCTTATGCTGCAACCTTGTGCTCAAAAATATGTTTCCCAAAATCAGTTTTCACTCACTTCCCCATAAAGACAAAGTGAAAACAGGTGAGGTGAGGTAAATTATAGTCCCTAAGGAAAATTTATCTTGGACTTAAATGCTATAGATTTTTATGCAAATGTGTTAACAAGTAAAAGCTGAAACATCCGACTGACATGAATATTCAGACTGTTGTGACGCTTGAAATTTAGCTTCTGATCATATTTGAGATCTGTTACCTTGATTAGAGTCCACCTGTGGTCAATTCAACTGATTGGACATGATTTGGAGAGGCACACACCTGTCTGTATAAAGGTCCCACAGCTCACAGTGCAAACCAGAGCAAACAACAAGCAGCCTGCAGAGCTCAGAGACAGAGTTATGTCAAGGCACTGATCAGGGAAGGGCTACAAAAAAATCTGCTGCATTGAAGGTTTTGGAGATCAGACTCTTTCTAGAGCCTGGCCAAACTGAGCAACCTGGAGAGAAGGGCATCAGAAAGAGAGGTGACAAAGAAACCTCTCCTCAATGAAAGACGTCACTTGGAGTTTGCTTAAAAGCACCCAAAGACACTCAGACTGTGAGAAACAAGATCGTCTGGTCTGACAGCCTGAGGGTCTCCAGAGAAGGTCGACAGAAAATCACCAAATCCAGGCGTGCAAAGCTTCTCGTGTCATACTCAAAAACTCTAGTCTGTAATCACTGCCAACACCATCATGTCCATGGATTTTTAGATTTTAGATTTTTCCCCCCAACTTTATTAAAAAAAACTCATATCAATGAGTTTTTTTTAATAAAGTTGGGGGAAAAAATCTAAAATCCTGATTTTGCTTTGTCATTAATACAAATTTAAATGATGTTAGTGGAAAAATGCACAAAATGACAAAACATGAAAAAAGTTAAGGCATCTGAAAACTTTATGAATGCACTTTGTTTTTCATAACTATTTAATGCACTGGTGAGTTCCCTCTCATAAAAACAAATGTTTTTTCTGTCTGTCATCATAAACACAGATTCTTAAATGAAGAACACAATGTTTGATCAAGCTTTATCAAAATCTGTTGTGCAGGACTCAGAAAAAAGAAGAAAACAGACAACGGTAAACAAGGTAATTCATTAATATTATATATATTACAAAGACCAATCTGTGTACAAAAATGTGACAGTTTACACACACTTTAACCAAACTGTACAAAAGCACAGAAACACATTTTTTTTAAATGCTCAGTTGGAATAAATATAATATTTATGAGTGTTGAGTCCTTTTCAGGCAAACTGCACGTCTTTGTTTTCCCCTCACTCATGAATGACACTGTTCCAGTGGATTTGAAAGTTTGTCCAGAGTAAACCAAAAACAGAGCTACAGATATGATCATTAGTGCTCACATCCAATTCATAAAAATATAAGAGCACCAAATCTGCAGGAGAAAATAGTCCCTATCATCAAATGCAGCATTCGCTCCTGCGTGAGTAACGTTTGCTAACAGCAAACAACATTTTCAGGAAACTGTTCAGCCTTATAAAAGTATTTAATCATGGCCTTTCCATGACAGTTGGCTGCCTTGTCCTTTATACGCAAACTGTAAGTCAACTACTGTCTCATGTCACCAAATCTGACAAGCAGACATTCTCTCTTAAAGGTCCAGTGTGTAAGATTTAAGGTGTTTTCACATATAGTCCTTCTTAAAGTGCACCTAAAATTGGACCAACAGAAAAGAGACTCAGTTCTTTTTGTGTTCACATTGTCAGTTCATTTGAAGAGGACTCAGTTCTCTTTCTGTTCACACTATATTCTATATATAATATATACTGACATAGTTTTATTTTTACTTTGATGTAGCACTGCAGTGGGGTTATGAAGCCCCTCGCTTTCAGATGAACTTAAAATTGGAGGTAAACCTTAAGTGTTTCTGTGCTGTAGACTGTTGCTGGTTGATGTATTCTACATTCCACATCTGGAGACATGCAGTATCTTGTGTGGACCAAACTATTCCTTGTCCTGCGTCCTTGAAAGCGTTACAGGCCAACGTGGTTGCGTGGTTTTTTAAGTGTCCCAGTGCAACAGCATGTAATCTAGAGGACTAAATACAATGGCAAAGTGAACCCGAAGCACTCTGTGTTCACAGTGCACAGGTTAAGTGAACTGCACCGTGGACTTGAAGCGAACCAAACTCAGACCATCTCCTGAGGTGGTCTCGGGGCAGTTCGCCTCAGAGTCCTCTTGAAGTGTTCACACATGTGCAAAAAATGCAGTGTTACTGCTCTAAATCCATGTGAAAACACCTTTAGGGGGACGTAGTGGGGTCTAGCAGTAAGGATTGCAGATTGTAAATAGCTAAAACTTCTAAAGGTTAGAATTCCTTCAGTTTACTGTTCAGGAGATTTTTTTAACCAGGAGCCGAATTATCCGCAGAGGTCTCCTCCTCTCCCAAACAAACTGACGGTGATTTAAACCGGTAAAAATGCTAAATAAAGCAGCGTCATGTTACAAATCAGTGTTTCTCCAATGCTGTTCGGCATGTTGCAGACAAGTTGCTCCCCCTGCACCTGCTAATGTGTACTCAACTTTTTACTCTGATAACTTAAGATCCAGACGTTCATTCTAAGGTAACAAAAACACAAGGATTTTTATTTTCAATACAATATACATTTAAGAAAACATACTTATTATATTAAATTCTGTTTCTGGCAATAAATCCCCCTGAATCCTGCACACTGGCCTTTTAACATGTTTTTCGATGTCACCAGCAGCTTGCATTCTCTCATGTGGTCATTATAGATGTAAACATTTATGTGCGGACATCAAACTTTCTACACTGAATATTTATTCAGTCATAAATATTTGTACAATGTACGACTCACAGTAAACAACAAAAACTCAAACTATGTTCAAGTTCCTTCATTTTTCAGAGCGGATGTTTGCACTTTTATGACCAGCAAAATTCTGATTCCCTTGTCAAAATAATGACAAAGAAATTACAACTTTATTCCATCCAAAACAATCATTTCTGTTAAATACTGTACTGTGTTTTTAGTTTTTCTGTTGTTCCCAGCCAGGTTCACCAAAGAATAACTCAGAATTTACTCTTATTTTCTACAAACTGTGACTATAGATTGAGATTTAATATAATGTACAGTGTCAGAAATCAGACACAGACCAGTATGTGCAACAGAAATGTCCGAGTCAAATCACAATGACCTGGCTGTAATCTTCCAGGTCGACTCGACGGGCATCTCCAAAGATGATGTAAATCCCGAGGCCTGTGGCATTTACCAAAGTGATGAGGGAGAACACGTTGGCCCACGACTGCGTGACCTCTATCAGGTACCCTGACACAGAGACCATCACCACTCCTGTGTGACATGCACCAAAGAAAAGGACAAGAGGCATTTAATTTCAGTGCGAGAGCAGAGTGTCCTGTATACTGCAAAAACATGTTGGATACGTACCAGACAAAGCACCAAACATGTTCATAAAACCTGTTGTAGAAATGAGAAATTAATCAACATAAAGAGATAAGCAGATGGTTATGACACTGAAATATAGACTGCTACAAACTCACCAAAGAGGGCACCAGCACATGACGGGGCGAGATCCTGTACATTCACATTCACACCACTGAAACACATAGAAAATCATCACATAAACAACTAAATCTACAGCACATTGAAAAAAAGTAACTATTTTACAACTTTACAACACTATAAAAAATAAAATACTTTTACTCCACTACATAGAAATGTAGTGGAGTAAAAGTGAAAGTTGACAGAAATATAAAAACTCAAGTTAAGTACAGATACTCCCAAAAAATACTTGTATTAGTATTAAGTATTGTAGAGCAGGCGCCCCATGTACAAAGGCAGCAGTGGCTGTGAATCTGATTCCAACCTATGGCCTTTTGCTGCATGTCATCCCCCTTTTACCCTTCTGTTCTATTGATTACGGGCAAAAAGGCCTATAAAAATATCTTAAAAGAAAAGAACCTAAACTCAACCACTTACATATGTGTACGGAGACGACTGATATCCGATGTGCCAGCGAAACTTTATTTGGTGGATTTCAGAGACATGAGATCCAGTTTTAACACATTAAATCCGAGTAATGTTATTCTGCTAAAATATGGTTATATATTATACAGTCAGATCGTCACGATGACTCGTTCAGCCGTTTTGCTTTTTCCTTGAGCTGACTCTTGAGCTGCTGTAACATGTGAACATCCCTGGTGTGGGATTAATAATGTCTTATCTTTATTCTTATCTTAGGGTAGGACAGGACAAGCTAAGCTATCTTATCTCAGCTTATTTTAGGTTATCTCATCTTAGCTTAGTTTATCTTAGCTTATCTTAGCTTAGCTTAGCTTAAACTTAGTTTAAGCTTAGCTTAACCTCCTCCCCTCTGTAATTTTGTGGTCTGGAATTTGTTTCAAGTGAGTTAAAAAAATTGAGCTTTTGCAGTGTATTTTGGAGAGACCGTATGTGTGCTAGCTTGGCTAACAGACTGCTAATTGGCTAACAGGCTATTTCCTTCAATTCAATTGCCTGTGTTTACTGTCAAGTGAGTTTGTTTGATTAAAAAGAACTTGTGTATCTAGTTTTAACACATTGTGAATCTGAGTAACGTTATTCTGCTAAAATATGGTTATATATTATATACAGTCAGATTGTCTTTATGACTCGTTTAGCCGTTCATATCTTTTTAATTGAATATTTCACAAAACATGCTGCATACCAGGCAGGTCAACATACTCATTTATTTGTTGCCATGTAATACTGGTCCTGTTTTTGTCCCAGTAATGTTTCATGCACATATTTCAAACTACTGGATGGTGAAAAGCGGACAAATTTAGCCTCTTCCTCATGGCTACAGGTAGTTTCTATCAGGTTTCTATCCATCTGTAAAGAAATGCACTTCCTTGCATTGTACACTAGAGGCATCATCCATATATGTACGGATCAACAGACACCAGTCACAGTGTGGTTCACCAGTGATCGAAGGTCATTTACACTTGGAAACAAATTCAGAATCAAAGTTTCTACAGTATTTTCCTCTGTTATGAAACACTGTGGGGACATCGACTAAATTCTTCTTTTTGGGGCCAAAAATATTTCAGATATAAAGAATACATTTGGTATCAGAGTTATACAGTTTTTATCTAAAGTGGCGATAACTGAAGGAAATTTAAAAAAAAAAGATGAATATAGCTGCTGATTCCAAACTTTTGAACTCCAGTGCGGCCTCTTAGAAAAACATCATCCTTTAAATATTAGCTTAGCTAAATTTACCAACAAATCACGCAACAGTTCAAATACACAGACAGGATCTTTTTCATAATGTAACATACCCGCCGCTGAAGGTGGACAGACCGACGGCAGCAGATACACAAATCACAGCAGTGGGATATGTGACAGCTCCGGACAGAGGCATAATGAACATGCTCATAACACCCATGGCGAAGAACTGAGGAGGGAGGAAACACACAGGTCAGATATTTAAAGGCACAATTCACAATCTAAAAGTAAAAATAAAAAGTTCACGCAAGTGTCTGATGCAGTTTGTTGAGCCCGTTAATCAAGTCAAGCTTTTCTCAGTTACTCAGTTTAGGTGTTATGACCTGAATAATTACTTCCTTTTGTGTTCTCCTACAGAGGTGTACACGTGTGCATTCACAGTACTTGAACATTTTTGCCTCAGGGAGGCATGTAATTACATGTCTGAAGCACATGCAAAAATTCCACCATGAGCTCCTCAGCAGCCAGTTGGGACAAACCTTTCACTGCATACACACTTTCCACCTCCTCAAAACACAACTACAGTACACTGAATTATTGTTTAATCACAACAGTTTTTCCACACTCACCTGCATTATCTTCCTCACCAGTTTTACACCATATCCTGCAGAAAAACAACAGCTGTAAACATTTTTTTTACATTAAAGGTACAGTAAGCGACCTCTAAAGACATAAAACAATAAAATAATAAGTTAATAATAATAATACCTTGGTTGATGAAAAAGTCTGAGATATATCCTCCGGTTAGTGCTGATGGAATTGCAACAAGCCAAGGAACTACATTATACACCCATCCCTGCAAGAACAGACAGGTTGGCATTTCAACGGTTGATCTGAGGTTGTTTAAAGCCTAGAGTGTCGACATGGAAAAATCTACTGTACTGTGCAGCAGGTTTATTGGCGAAAAGAGCGCTACCGCAGGTCCTTCATTCCAACAGCAGTCAGACTTTTAACAAGACAGCACATCATGCAACACTCTCTCCATCACCAACCACTGACAACACAATGTGCACTATTTCCACCTCAGGTTATATATATATATATGTATATATATGTGTGTGTGTGTGTATGTGTATATGTAGATTTTATTTATTCATAATCATATGTAGATTTTATATTTTTATTTTATCTAATTTGTATTTTTGTCATGTTTTCTTTCCTTTGTTGGCACTCAGACACTTTTTTGCTTTCTCCATTTGCTTCTGACTCTGCTGTAACATGTGATTTTCCCTGGTGCGAGATCAATGAAGTGGTATCTTTATCTTATCTTATCTTATCTTATCTTATCTTATCTTATCTTAGCTTAGCTTAGCTTACCTTATCTTAGTTTATCTTACTTAAGCTTAGCTTAGCTTAGCTCAACGTGTCTTATCTTATTTGAGCTTATCTTATCTTATCTTATCTTAGCTTACCTTATCTTAGGTTATCTCAACCTATCTTATCTTATTTTATCTTTTTTTTTTATCTCAGTTTATCTTATCTTAGCTTATCTCAGTTTACCTTATCTTAGCTTAGCTTAGCTCAACGTATCTTATCTTATTTTATCTTATCTTATTGCAGCTTATCTTATTGCAGCTTATCTCAGCTTAGCTCAACGTATCTTATCTCAGCCATAGACTGTATGATCTCAGCTTATCTTATTTTAGCTATCTCAGCTTAGCATAGCTTAGTTTAGCTCAACATATCTTATCTTATTTCAACTTATTTCAGCTTATCTTGGCTTACCTTATCTTATCTTATCTTATCTTAGCTTAGCTTAGCTTAGTTTAGCTTAGTTAAACTCAACATATCTTATCTTATTTCAACTTATTTCAGCTTATCTTGGCTTACCTTATCTTATCTTAGCTTAGCTTAGTTTAGCTCAACATATCTTATCTTATTTCAACTTATTTCAGCGTATCTTGGCTTAACTTATCTTATCTTATTTTAGCTTAACTCAACATATCTTATCTTATCTCAGCTTATCTCATTTTAGCTTAAATCAGCTTAACTCATCTTATCTTAACTTATCTCAATTTATATTATCTTATTTTAGCTTAGCCAACATATTTTGTTGTATCTCAGGTTAGCTTATATTATTTTATCTTATCTCAGCTTATCTTATCTTGGTTTATCTCATCTTATCTTAGATTACCTCAGTTTCTCATTTTAGCTTATCTTATTTATCTTAGCTTAGTTTATCTTAACTTGTCTTTTCTCATCTTTTCTCATCTTAGCATAGCTCATTTCAGTTTTACACTCTGTTGTCAATTACACACAGGAAATCAAATAGGCCTACCGTGGCCTGTGGAAATGATTCTTTGAAGAATGTTGGCAGCCAGGACAATAAAGTGTAGAAAGAGCTGCACAAGCACATGTGAGCAATCACCATGGCCCTTAGAGAGAAGATGACACAGACAGAGATTTAGAGATGAGGTTAGGATAAAGACTCAACCATGTGTTGGTAAATAGTGAAGGATTAAAGAACATGAGCTGTACCAGACAGGTGGTTTCTTAAAGAGACTCAGCCACGGTGTTCTTGACAACCTTGAACGGAGGTCGCAACTTGTTTTCGTCTGCTTGGGGGAAAAATCTGTACCTGAATCACACATTGTACATTATGTTATACTGTTGTATGTCATAAGAGTTGCAAAAAGTGATTTTGATGAAAGAGCCCCATTTTAAACTCCGACTTGGTTTTGTGTTTATCAGAATCAGAATAACAATCTGAGCCTGTCAGTGGCAAAAACAAACACCTTTACTGGACGAAAATTGATGGTGCACATTTGCCAATAAGGATTACATTGCAGCCTGGTTCGGGATACATGACGGACTAGTGAAGTTACTGTACCTCTTAATAAATACAACCAGAGGGTGAGTGCCCAGAGTCCAGCCAGGAAACCAATACTGTAGAACATGCTTTCCCAGCCGTACTGGTCCAGCATCAGGGACCCCATCCCACCTGCTAACAACGTTCTGAAAGAGTAACAAAGAAAAGGTGTCACCAGAGATAGACTACTACTACTACTACTACTACTATAATTATGTAAAATTGAGTTTGTAGTGTGTTTCACCTGCATTTGATGTGGATTTTGTGCATGCAATAAATGTCCAGATGTGTTCGAGATTAGTAAGAGAGATGAGCTTACTGGAAATACTCATCTGCCCCAGAATGCATTGCATCTTTTTAGATTGCAAGGCAGCCATCAACAGAATGTGTACAAATGTGACGCACATACAATGTACTATACAAAACATATTTTACACCAAAATATTAATTAATATTCATTTGCCGTAAAATAATGCTGGATAATATTAAATTTTGTGTGCGTGTGTGTGTGTACAACATACCCAAGATGGCTACCACTGGCCATGGCGCTCATTAAAAACCCTCTCTCTCCTTCCACCACACGCTGTGAGCAAATACTGGCCAGAGACGGGAAAAACACACCTGTAAGACATAAGAGGACACACACAGCTTCTCTTTTTCTGTCACTGTAGAGTTAATTTCCTGTAGCACTGGAACAATTGGACTGATTGTCGTGGTCATTTGAGTAGCACAACGAAAAATGGCTATTGTTGTTATGGTCATCAAAGGAGGCCATAAAGTGTGTCACACTCAGTAATTCGAGAATTCAGTTTTGGCCTCCTGACGCCTTTTAAGTGATCGAAGGTATTTACATCTTTGCAGAGAGAGCAGATGTATAAGTGGCCGTGTTGGGGGTAAGGCGTTAAAAAATAAGTTCTCAGATTACTTTTCTGTTGTAAGGAGTAATGTAACATGTTAGATATGCAGTTTAAGTAATCAGTTAGTCAGTTATGTTATCAGTTAAGCCAGGGGTAGGCAACCTGTGGCTCTTTAGACCCTCTCCAGTGGCTCCCTGTGGCTTTGACATTAAATTATATGGAAATGAATAACAGTTATTTTTTAACATTCAGATTTTCATTTGTCATTTGTTGTAGGCCTCAAGTGATTATTGCATTCTACGACTGTAAAAATGTGTAGCCTACACATCAAATTTAACAATTGTTTTCAAGTTTCAACAACTGAAATGTGCATCATACTTCTACGATGTGGTGCCTTTCCAAATTTTGCTTAACGTAAGTAGCGATGGCTAGTCTGGAGTCTCTCTTACATGGCTAGCTATGGATTCCAAATCCACCACAAGACTTTTGTCTTGGAGGGAAATAGAGGATTTAATAATGTGTGGACAGATTCATTTGCTTTCACCAATAATGCTGCAAAGTTCAAGTGCTAAATATTTATAGACTGTCCACTGCAGAGAAGCCACCTTGTAGTAAATCATATTAATGAATACTCATTTAGACCTATTCAAAATGTTGATGGCTAATTTAGACTTAATGGGTCATTACTTTTATTCGATTATGTTTTGCGGCTCCTGACAGATTATTCTTAGTTTCTTTTGGCCAATAATGGCCCTGAGTTAAGCAGTCCGTTACTTTCAACTTGATATCATACTTCCCTGTTTCTCTCTGTGTCATTAATGGCATGTTTGTTGAGACATAATGTAACTTTACTGTAGCTGCCTCCGAGGAATGTTCGACATCTTGGGAAGCGTGCTTTCTCACTTACGGCAAGAGTTAACTGAAACATTAGATGCCACTATCATGTCTGTACAGTAGGCTATGAAATGTGAGAAATATAAAGCCAGCAGCTGATTAGCTTGGCTTAATATAAATCTGGAAATGGGGAAGTGGCCAGCCTGACTTTGTTTAGAGGGAAAAAAATTTGCCTATCACCACCTCTGACTGGGAACAGTGACTTCCTGTTGTCTCTGGTGGTTGCTTGGCAACTGTTCCAACTCAAGAAATACACCGGCATGTGACTGCCATTAAACCACAGCTTGTTAACATTAGTCTTTGTACAGATCAGACAAACAAGGTACAGCGGGTGAATTCATGAGCTTTAAAGCTGCTGGCAGGTGGATTTTGTTTCCTTTGGACAGTCAGGCTAACTGTTTCTGCCTGTTTCCAGTATTTATGCTAAGCTACACTAACCAGCTGCTGGCTCTGACTTCATGTTTAGTGTACCGACATAAGAGTGGTATTGATCTTCTCAATTAACTCTAGGCAAGAAGTAAACACATGTATTTACCAAAATGCTTAACTGCTCCTTCAGGTGCTTATTTCAAACGGTACAGTACTCACCCTGCATTACTCCCATGAGAAACCTGGCCATTGTCATGAGAGCGAGGGTGTGTGAGCTTAAGTGGGCCAGAAGAGGAGTACAGGCTGTGAGCAGAGCCCACGAGACTGCAGACATGAACAGGACGCGCTCTCCTCCCACTCTAATATAATAAATAAACATTATAGAGTTAATAAAAAGGTTATTAGCTCGTTGTTTGAAGTCATACTGGTTGTTTTACCAGCTGAACTGCTTACTTGTCACTGGCATATCCTCCCAGGATCTGTGTGCAACAGTAACCCCAGAAGAATCCACCCAGAACTAGCCCAGAGTCGATCTTACTCCAGTGGAAAGAAGCCGCCATTGACACCGCACAGATCGGCATGGCCATCCTGGCACAGTAGAGGAGGCAGGAGCCCATAAACAGCATCACGATCCATTTTCGAGCCAGTGGTCTAAAACACGAAGGGAAACGGGTTCGACTTAATGACATGGACATAATGAATCTTTGACCTTGCTAGCTGCTCTACAAGCTTGTACCTAGGCAAAGAAGTGCTTTGAGCTATTTGCTAACATTAGCATGCAAACGTTCTCACAATAATAGTGCTAACATGCGGGTGTTTATCATAATTTATTATAATATTAGCTAAGTAGCACTAAACACAAAGTATAGCTGAGGCTGATGGGAATGTAAATAGTTTTGCAGGTATAGAGCGCCCCAGGAATGAGTCCTTAAACCTGGAGATGAGTTAGCATTTTAGCGCTTCAGGTTACCACGTCTCAAAATCGGTGGGTTCTTTGAATGCATTTTTGGTAGCATGCCTGAAATAAGGTCTGTGGTTAACACAAGTTTAAGAGACTTTCACATTTAGTTTTACGACATATAATAGCTCAGTTAATACCCTACTTTTTTAAAGCTATTATGTGTCCTAAAAAGACTGTTGCTAACAAGTGGCTAACAGAACATCATCATGCAGAACACAGCTTTGCAGTCTCGTAATGGTAGGGATGTTAAGTCATGTCATCATAGTGTAGTTTGTTAAAGCCAAACATTTGCTTTTTACTTCTGGCGATTGCATTTAGGCTTTAAAAATCATAAAAGTGGTGTTAATTTGTGAAGACTATCTCGCTGAACAAAACATTTGTTTGCCACAGAACTTGTTTTCAGCAATTTTTCAAATTCCAGTAGAACAATCTCATAGGCATTTTGTCAAGGGAACCAGGGCAACACTAATTGCGTCAGCCTACAGAAAAATGTCATCCCTGATGCACTCTATACAGAAGTAATTCCTCTCAGTCATCACTAATGACCCACTAGACATGTGTGGCGGTGTGTTTGTCTGCAGAGACTCTGTCCTCTGCCTGTATCTTCTTGTTTTCTTCTTATTTTTTGTGTTTGGGACGTGTATGGACGTGTAGCCTACCCCCACAGCACTGAGGAGAGGTCGGGAGTATACAAAAAGGTAGCAACCAGGTGCCAGACTATAGGCAACTGCCATCCAAGAGACATGGTGTCAAAATAAAATGCAAATACAGCAAGGCGAAACACTAAACAATAGTGAATGTGAGGTTGGCTTTTACTTTCACTTTCGCTGGTGAGCGTGTTTACAAACAGTGACCAACAAACCTGCATAGTGTACTTTTAAGACCTTAACGAGGTTATTAATCCTCTGGGGACCATGTATTTCTGTACCAACTGTCAGTGTCAAGACATTTCAGTAAAAATCCTAAGATGTAACCAGCTAATGCCAACCAACAAACTGACAGCCAGTGCGTTTCCATGCACAGTTGAGTAATCGAGCTACTGTCATAGCTCCACTTGGCCATTTAATTGGACTACTGTCCTTGGAATCGATCTATTGACCAGATTATGTCCGACTCCGCTATGATAGGTGGCGATATGCCAACTTGTTAGCACTGGACCCTTTTCCGGTTGACCCTTTATGTCACAGACCAAACAATCAACAGACAAATTAGCTACGGTTAGCTAGTGGCAAACTGGCACCATGGTGTACAACTTTACAGCTCTGTACATTTTGTCCATCTAAAAATCTGTGGCTCTGGATATAGATTTCGTCATGTTGTTACTGGCTTTTTCCTCTGTTATGGATTTAATGCTACTCAATTTCCAGGGGGCGGAAACTGTGGAGCATGCCTCGGCTAGTTTGGATCTGATCAACTGAATACATGCAGTATGGTAATAGTAATTTGACTCCCAATCACATTATCTGGTTGTGTTAGTCCGACTTTGAGAGATTAAATTTAGTACAATTTCAGTTGGACTGACATGTTCATGGATTTTAAAAGTTTGGTTTTAGTCAGACTAACACAATAAATTGATTGTCTCTGTCATGTAAATGTACTGATTGACATCCACAGAGCCACACCATGGCTAAACAATAAATCCAGTTCCAGAGAAGCCAACATGGTCTTTTATGTTCCCAGGAATGCAAGTACAGAACATATCAAGTTTATAATAGTTTCAGTTTCACTCAATGGATGCTGTTACTTTTTGCAATTTTTTTTCCCACTTAAACTTTTTATTGATTTGTCCACAGAATACATTCTTACTTAGAAACAAATCCCAGTGAGTTTGTCTTTACACTTCCAAATTCTTATTCAGCCACACCAGTTTTACTTTCTCAATAGACCTCTCAGTAAATGAATTTTGAAACCAAAACTCCAGTAACATGTATCAGGCAAAAGTAATAAAGATGGTCTGGTCTGAGTTCCCAGACAACCCTCCAAACCACTTTGCCTCTCCTCCATAGTGTCATAATCTAGTGTAAATAGGAAACTAATACACTTTTCAATGATTAAGACAAATAAATTTACCTTACCCTATGGTTTCTATCTCATTTTCTCCTACTTTTTACTAATTTTAAGAAATCTTGAAACCTACCATGAAGTGTAGACCGTGACAACATGAGGACAACCTGTTCCACATTTCTAAAATCCCAACTGAAGAAGCCTGTAGTATGTGTAGTCTGATCTAAATCATGTGCAGTCTCACCTGGACCACAGGTTTTGGTCCTCTGGCTCCTGTTTGGTGAAATCATTGGCAACGTAAACCTCACAGTCCAGAGGAGAACCACTGAAGCCATTCCTGCCGTCTGATGTGTGCTTGTCAGCCATTCAGACAACAGTGACGTCCTCTCTGGTGTCAGTGCAACTCTCCCACTGAGAGGTATGCCTTCGTTTTACATCGTATCCTCAGGCAGACAGGCCAAACAGGTCAAACTTGTTGGAACAAAACCCAAATAGAGAAGCTGATTTAAAGGAATGACAACAGAGGCTTTGCAGTGGGTTTACTGTGTTGCCCTGTTTAATCCACTATCAGGTTTTTAAGTACTCTAAACAACTTTTTTTGAAGTACCAGTAACTCAACTCATAGTATGGTTGAAGTATTCAGATTTTTTTACTTAAGAAAAGTAGGAATACAACAGTGTAAAAATACAGTTTCAAGTCAAAGTCCTGCATCCAAAATCAACAAAATATACTTTTAGTACTAAAGTAAAAGCACTCATTACCCAGAATGCCCCATTTCAGAATAATAATAGATGATCATTAATGATGCATTAATGTGTGAGCATCACTAATGTAGCAGCTAGTAAATGGATTCATACTGTGTACACTGGTGAAATGTCAGCATAGTATGAAGGTATGAAAAGATGGAGCCTATTGTATATTTTTAGACACAAAGGTGTCCCTGCTGCATGCCACACTGCATTTTTGCTACAATGCCTGTTTTAGGGCTTTGCACAAGGGATGATCACACGATGATCACTGTGTAATAATAACTTTATTTGTAAAGCACTTTTTGAGCTGAAAGCACAAAGTACTTTCCAAGGTGCAGAGAATTTTTCAGACGAGATTTAAAGACGTGAACAGGGTCAGCTGATCTGACTCTCAGCAGGATGCTGTTCCTAGGCCCAGGGGCAAGAACTGAAAAGGCTTGATAACCCTTTGTCTTTAACATTGGCTCTGGAACAGTTAGAAAACCCAGACTGGCAGACCTGAGGGACCTGTTTAGGTGTGAGAAGCTCAGTTATGTACTCTGGTGCCAGATCATTGAGAGCCTTGTATGTGATTAAAAGAACTTTAAAATGGATTCTAAAAGAGACTGGAAGCCAAAAATAGGTGTGATGTGTAAGGATTGTTTAGTTTGGTTAAAAGTCTAGCTGCTGAATTTTGCAGGATCTGGAGCTGTTGTATAACCTATATTGTTCAGGCAGGTGAACAAGGCATCACAGTAATCAAGGCAGGAGGATATAAGAACATGTTTGACTTTCTCTACTGCACATTTGGAGAGGTTCCTCAGCAGGTAAAAACAAGACTGGACTACATGTTTTACATGTTGCTCCAGAGTCAAAATACTGTCCAGAGTAACACCCAGATTTCTTGAACCTGATGTTATGGTCGGAGTGAGGGGGCCGAGGAGTGGCTAAATTTGTTTGAGATGCATTCAGGGCTAATGATGAGAACTTCTGTCTTTTCAGAGTAAATTTTAGGCAGTTTTTTTAAATGTCATACAGGCAACTGTGAAGAGATGCTAATTTACTGGTGTCACAGGGTTTAAAAGACAGGTGGAGCTGTGTATCATTTGCATAGCTATGCAAAGAGATGTTGTGATGATGTATTATCTGTCCCAGGGGTAGGATGTAGAGGGTGAAGGGAACAGGTACCAAAACTGATCCTTGTGGTATTCCTTGTTTTGACAGAGCACTTCTTGAGGAATATTTCCCAACTGTGACAATTTTTTCCCCTGTTGGTTATATATGAAGAAAATCAGTCCAGAGTGGTTCCAGTAATACCCGCCCACTGTCTCAGTCCCTCTGTAGGAATGGAACGGTCAGCTGTGTAAAAAGCTGCACTGAGGTCAAGCAACATTAACACAGAACATGCACCTGAGTCTGCAGCTTTCAATATGTCATTTGTGACGCTGAGGAGAAAACCAGACTGAAATTTTTCTAATACATTGTTGTTAAGTGTCTGTAAGAGTTGGTCCAGCACTACCTTTTCTAGGATCTTAGATACAAAGGTGAGTTTGGAGATAGGCCGGAAGTTTTTCAAATCTGTGGGACCTAAACCAGAGGCCTGTACTACAAAGCCAGTTCAAGTTACCTGGGATATCTTTTCGTTATCTGGCTTGATTAACCCTAAAATTATCCGTCTGGTACAAAGCTGGTTATCAACTAGTTCAGTCAACTCTGGGTTTTTCTATCCAGCCACGAGCGCGTTCAAGCGAAAGTGGCGGGAGTGTTAATTACAAGCAACATCATCAGAACTATGAATGAAGGAGGCTGATTCATAGTTGAGAGTTGAAATGGTACCTGAAGTGTCTGCAACTGTGAGACAGTAAAATGTCAATGGTGCTGGATATATGCTGAGATGTTGGCCAAGACTTAGATTACATGTAGGTGTCACTGGGCTATATGTGACATTAGTGTAGAGTATTTTTAGGTATTTAGTTGGATGATGATGAAACTACTCTGAATATGTCACATAAAACACTTCAAAGTAACACCAGACTGTTTCTGCTTCTGAAGTAAAGGGTGGATTATAACCTATTGTTAATGACTGATGAGGTGTGTCTGACCCAAATGTTGCTTTTATAATAATGAGAGCCAATTAACAGTGTGTTTGGAACAGAGTGTGTATTTTTCTAATAACATATTTTATCCTAGTTCTCATCAAGCAGGCGTCTCGTTATTTTGAGCTGCAGTGATGAAATCAGAGTGTAAAATAGCAACACTGTCACTGCAGACTAAAATTGAAATAAGTTAAATTCATACGTGAAAATCCTGCTAGAATCATGTGTTCAGTGTTGTTCACGATCTCTGTTTGTTAGAAGCTCTGTTTTAAAACTGAAATAGAGCACTGGAACAATGAAATGACTCTTCTGACCTGTAACAACATACAGGCTCCTCTTTTTTACCTGAAACTCTAGACTTTTGCCCATAGATACATTTCTCTTCAGTGATCTGATGGTCAGAGGTCAGGGTGTTGACAAACTGTGATCTGATACTCTGAAGTTAACCTGCTCCAGAGCGGGTTAGCTGTTCAGCATAAGTTACCACGGTGATTTATCCTGGTAAAAAGAGAACCAGGTTCGTAGTCCTGAAAATCCAGAGTTAATCTGACGTTACCTCGCTAACTCCAAATCCCGCTTCGTAGTACAGGCCTGTAGTTCCTTCAGCAGCAGTTCAACACAGGCAGTTTTCACAAGATCAGGTACAACTCCAGAGGACAGAACTATTGATGATGTCAGCAGCGCAGGGTCGAGTGATTATTGCTTCTTTTAACAGCTTTGTTGGGATGATATCAAGGGGACTCAAGGAGGGATTCACAAGTGACACAGTTTTCTCACGTTTCTGCAGTGATATTAGTCTGAAGTAATCTAAAACATTCAAGGAGGGGTAAGGGAGGTCAGCTGTAGAGGTGGGAGAGGTGATATTTGCTCTAATAAGATCAATCATATCTGAGAAATAAAGAATTTTGTTGCAGTTGACAGGAGAGGAAACGTCTACAACTGGAGGGGGGGTTACAAGCAGCACTGAACAGTACTCTGGGGTTGTGCTGGTTCGCAGTGATCAGCTGTGAGAAATGATGGTCCCTAGCTGCCTTTACCTTAGAAGTGTATGAAACTAGCAGTTCTTTAAACAGTGAGTAATGAACCTGCAGTTTACTGGACTTCCACCTCCGTCCCATTTTTCTACAGGTTCTTTTGAGGGTACAAAATTACTCATTCTTCCATGGATCTGTTACTTATTTTAAACTACTTAAATAAATTCATAGAATAAAATCATAAAAATTGGGTAAAATATTGTGGAAAGGTTGTGAGCATTCACTTGTAAAATGTGCTGAAACCCTGTGTAAATATACAAAATGTCAGTGGATCTTCCTCTATAATTTGCATACATCCACACTCACAACCCAGAAAACAAACAAACAGCTCTTGTATGGTTCACAAAAGTTTTGTTTATTTTAATAATTGCAAATCTGATCTTAAAAATGTTGAATAATAAAAGGGATGTGAGCTCTCTGGGTCTCAGTATTTGTCAAAGCCAATATCTATAAAGACAATACAACCTTAAAAGAAATTAAGGATGGACAACTAGCAGCAAGTTTGTTTTTTTATATATAAAAGTAAACAAACCAAACAAAATAAACAAGCACAAGAGCCTTTCCCCATTGAGAAAAGAAAAAATAAAAGATACACTTACATGCAGTTAAAGTGAAAATACTAACGGCTTTAAAAGTGGTAAAATGGACAGCAAGTTCTGTGACTTTCAGATTCAACAATGCTTTTGATTATTTATCATTAAGTACCAAAACAAAACCAATAAACAAAATAATCAGTTCCGGTCTGAATAGATTTCAAAATGTGAGTTTTTGAACTTCAGAGTTGCCGTAGTTGGCACCGTCACTCTTTAGCAATTCTCAATCAAACAGCCCTTTCTCTCAAGCAGCGTATAAACCCTCCCTCCATCAGTGGGAATGGCAGAACATCATCCTCATCATCACCTCAGCCCCTCTTTGTAACATAAAACCAAACACTGTTGGAGCATGTCAGGGGGGATGTGCATACTGCCGGCTCAGGAAAGACCGAAGAGGGCTAAAACTCAGTAAGGAAGCCATTTCTGATTTTAACCCGTCAGTCAGGACGTATTTCACCCTCTCACACACACGTGAAATGATAAATTTTGCAAGGCAGTTCATCCCATAGACACATCGTAAAGATACAACAAATCATAAAATATTATATTAATTCAAACTATATTACATTAATAAAGCGTATCTTTCCATTTAATTGAAAAATACTCACATTTTGTGTATGAAATTTAAATCTTAAACTTATTTCTGATTTGAAACAATCTAGACTCATGCGGTGTGTCATTAATCGTGTGTCTGCTGTTTCAAAGACCGTTCCAAGTGTCCTCCCCACCGTCCTGCAGAGCCTTGACTTTGGCTCCACGCACGCCACAACACTTACATTGTTTATTTATACCGCCAACACTCTCTCTTGCAAAATAAAGTCTCGGAGGGGTAAATGGTCACAATAATTAATACTACTGACTTTAGAAAGACAAAATATAAAACAGCAATCTGAATTTTGTCATCTCCTAGATTGAATTTAAAATCCAGGATCAGTATTTAAACGAAA